GTGTATTTGTCGCGCCACTGCGGGCTGCATTTCGGATAACAAGTGAATTTTTATCCAATTGTTCTTCTACGGATAGGGATCAGCTCAATAGGATCAATACCGAGAGTTCCGCGTTCATACTTTGTCTATGGACTCTACTCGGAGTCGATTTTTATCGATGATAACAGTGGGATGTGTGTGTCTCCAATTTTCAAAATTAGCTTTTATTGTTCGTTGTATCCTGAATTCTTTCTATTTCCTTCTGACGCTAGTCTGTAATCTTTATAAATCTTAAGAGATTGAAACAAGTTCTCTAATTACAGAGCTTTCATTAACTATAACATTCTTAGTGTTAATTATGTTTATTAATTATTTTATTCTGTTAATTGTGAAGGAAAATATAAGATATTTCTTTGTATTGTTATGCCTGTTAACATCTAAAATAACATTTGATTAAATTTTTAATTAAAAAGAAGCATTTAATTATCACTGATATAATTTTCTTTTGTTAAGTATAAGTCATTTACGTGAATATGCACCTTTTCATTTATGACGGGCATATTCGCGTTCTACATTTTTCTCCTTTTCTTTTTATCACAATAGAATAACGTCACTCTTACGAAAAGAAAAAGTCTACTTATACGCTTCTGTGTAAGTTGCGCCGTCGAGATGCAACGCGCTTTGGGAGGATAGCGTTAGATGCATCATTTTAATTATCTTAATTATCTTAAATTATAATATCAGAAATGAGAAAATTGTGAAAGAACAGTTTCCTAAACTTTGGTTTCACTAGTGCATGAATATTGTCAATTCTTAAGTCTAAATAATATTTATATACATTTGATAATTATGATAGTTATTTGAGATGATAGTTATTTATTTTATTTCTTATAGGTCTTCAATTTATTTGCTCATTTTTATTAATAAGCTATCCTCCAAAGCGCGTTGCATCTCGACGGCGCAACTTACACAGAAGCGTATAAGTCGACTTTTTCTTTTCGTAAAAGTGACGTTATTCTATTGTGATAAAAAGGAAGGAGAAAAATGTAGAACGCGAATATGCCCGTCATAAATGAAAAAAGATTTCAGTTGCGATGTCAATTATTTTTTTGCAAGAGTCCGGAGCAATTTTTTGATTTTGTTCCTTTCAATAAAAATCGTATCAGACATTTTCATGTTTGCTCGCAAGGGCTATAAATAAGGATAAAAGGAAAAGATTTGTAATTTTCTGTCGAGAGAACAATTATTTTCAGAGTTACCGATTTACTTTACCGCGTGCGACAATCGAATTTCGCAATTGTCGAAAAGCTGTTCCGGATTGTCGCGTCGGGTGCGGATACTCCTCGTTCTTTCTCTTCTTACGGGAAAGAGAGGAGAATGGAGAGAAATAAATTGTACTGAGACTGTTTCGATAAGTGGTCGATGCCGCGAAAATGAAAAGACCGAGTAGTTCGCTCGTTATTTATTGCCCGTCGTGCTTCGTACCGGTATGAAACGATTTTTGAGGAGCCGAGCGTCGACCTATATCAGATCCGATTGCGTTAAACCGTGCACGTCGAATCTATCTCTTGGTTCACGGGCTGTACGAGCAATTTCCGGCTTAGTCGAGGCCATTGTGTTGTAGATATTAACTCTAAATCTGTCATCTCCATTCTATAAGAAATATTGTTTTTCCTTGTCTGGACTTATTCCCTGTTTTCCTGTCTGCAATGCAAACAATATAATGTTTGTAGTTAAAAGTAAACTTATTAAACTTATAGTGATAAGAATCTTTTTGGTTTATAACAATTTATAAATATTTAAATTATTTTGTATAAAACAATTTAGGATAAATTTGCGAATTTTAATTAATTTGGGATTTTTATTTAGCCTACATGGTTCCTAAAAAAACCAAATGAAATAATAACATTTGAGAAATGAGAATAAGTTAAAAATTTATTTAATTCTCTTTTCTTTAATAGAACTTTTTTTAAACTTAATTACAGGAATGAGAATCATAGCAAATAGAAAAAAGTACCGATTCATTAAAGTCTCCGTAAGAAAAAACTTTGGACTTGTCAAAAGATATGTCGATAGAACTTGGTAACTTACTTTAGCATTAGTATCTATCTATTTATCTATCTGCTTTTTTGTCTGCTTCCTCGCAATGACGTAAATGACCCAAATCGATAAAGCGCATCACCGTATCGCGGTTTATTTGTGATAAATGCATTTCCTTCCATCCACGTTCTTTTCCTTTTCCTTTTTATTCTCAATTTGCTGGCTTGGTCGTGACGCGCTGTTACGTTAGCACCTTCGTACGAACAGCGCCGGTAATTAGGTCATTTGTTTTCATTGCGTATAAATTATTGTGCACGCCATCTTATTTCACGCAATACGTTTATCATAATTTCACCCCATAAACGATGGACTAATTATCGGTTTGGGGAACGACATTTCCCCCAACTTTAACTTTGTAGTTGGCCATTTTAGAAGCGACATGTTATTTGTAATCTTGGGGGTTGTTGCACGTCGAACGATCACGATGAATGTTTTGACGATAAGCGGTGGCTGTTGCACAAGGGAAACTCGAGCGAAATTAGTCTGTCAACGTGGTAAGAGACGAAGAGAACAATCCTTGGTCCGCGAGGAAATTAAATAGGAAGGACGTCAACCGCAACCATGCCATGTTACTCCGTGGCTCCCCTCGAGGGTTTCCTCTCGGCGATGGTCCTCCGTTCCTCGAGTTTTCTCTTCCGTCGTTATTGCGATAGCATACATGAGATAGAAAAAACGCGTATATATCGAGTCTTATCTATTTACATTCTTCTGCGCTACATTTCTCATTTTGCTATATCGCCGCGTAGGATCGATGCGAACACTCAAAAAATACTCTTCAAAAAATAAAAAAATATAAAAAGAAAATTTTAACTATTCGTATTTTTAATAATAATAATAAGAATGTATAAGTTAAAAGGCCACAGACGAGCATAATAAAAATGTTAAAGTTAAAATTAATATTTAATTATCAAAAAGGTACACAAACAATCAATAAACAGGACAAGTTTTTCAACCTAATTTAGCCTTTATCAGTTGCAATGATTAAATAACAGCTAATATAACATTTACGGTTAAAAAATATATTCTAATTTAGACATTATCATGTTAAACTAAATGTTACAGAAGCTGTTAACATTTACTTATTATTTATATATACTTTTTTGATGAGTAAATATTAACTTTAATTTTTCTAACATTTTTATTATGCTCATCTGTAGCCTTTTAACTCATATATTATTTTTATTAAATGACAAATTCAAAATTTGTTTATAATTGGTTTAATAATAACGCTGAGGCATTATAATGGAATTCGGTTAGTTATGGTTATATACTTAACATATGCGTGGAAGCGTTGGAGGAATTAAATTTATCTTGTCTTACCTTTCCTTGCCTGGATATCTAATTTCGCAGGAATGCTACCATAACATACCGCAAATACAATAGTATCTGTACAATAAGATACAAAGTCCTATGTGTGCGTACAATTTAATCATGAACTTCGACTTTTAACGAAGCTCGAGTGTAAAGCTCTAACATCAGAAATATAACAAAGACACCTGCGTCTAACACAAGGGATATTGATTAAAGCCGGAGATTTCCTTTGACGAGGAAGTTTCGAATTTAATTCCTATCCCTATGAGTGATCGAAGAGCACTTTTTTACGCGTCAATGAGGTAACATTTCGATCCCAATTACAAAATGGCTAAGTGACTTTCTCTTTGCAAAAAACAGAGAGGCATTTGTTTCGTTCTAATTACGTTCACTTCTCTGTTAAGTTTTTATTTTATTGATATTTGATATACTTTCCATTTAAATAATAATTGAAATTATCTTCACTTTATGATAAAGGGGGAGAAAAGTTTTCTTTTTTATTACAGATTTTTGACTAGTTTCTTTTTTGTGGAAAATGTGAAATGAAAACCAAACAAGAAGGGAGAAAAATTTATAAGATTGATAAACGCGTGGAGAGTTGCACTTTTATTTTAACAAACACATACGTTTGCTTGTGAATATCTCATTCGTATTATCGTCTTGGGATTAAAGCGGAGTTACTGTAGAGTAGCTACAGAGAAAAAGGACCTTCTCTCCTGATGATTCATTAATCATTTCTCTGTGCAGTGCGCAATAGTATCGTTTTACGCTGCTTGCGGACAGCAACTAATAAATGGCATTACATGCGCCGAAAACGTACGTTTGCAGGATGCTACGGGGTAAACCGGAGTAGGTCGAGGCTCGAGGAAATCTCCCCGACGAAATCTCAGGCTTTCGCGTTCCTCGAGCGCATCGCGTACGTGCCTGTGCGTGCTCTTAACCACTAGCACTCGGATATTCTGGCGCAATTACCGCGCTATTTGACGGATTAAAGCGCTCCTTTCTACCCGCGATTGCACGAGACTTTGCCCATATAATTGCGTGCGCGTGTAGTGTATGCTAGGCTGCTTAATCGTTGTGAACAGTGCGAATTACGTCTCGGGAAATATCATCAATTAACCGCTCGATGCCTACTTATGCAATATTACGCATTAATAACATTCTGCAATTGCTTGCGGCTAAATCAATGGCTTTAATCCCGAAATTCTTCTATATAGAAAAATTCTTTAAGAGAGACCGAGAGAGAGAGAAAGAGAGAGAGAGGAGGGCGGAAGGGGGGGGAAAGG